TATTCCTATTCCTTGGTTTGGGAGTGTGAGCAAATTCTAAAGTCCCCAAATAGAACAGCTGGATCAACATTTTTTCATACTTCTACCCTCCAGCGTAAGTTACACTGTGTTTGGCTTGTTTAGTTCTTGGTGCCAGTTGTTTTTTGGGAGTTGTAGCCTCTGAATCAGTGTAGAAAGTTACTGTGTTTGAGGATTCACATAAATTTTCAAGTTGGAGTGGACAGTAAGAGGGAAACTTTTTCCTCAAAGGTACTTTGAAGCAGTTAGACTTGTTACTGATTACCAAATAAATTTGTAGTTCAGTTTATAAAATTTGTAGTTAGTGAAGGTGTTTCCTATTTTTTGAAAGAAAACAGTATCCTCATTTCACAGTTTTTGTGAGGTTGTGCCTTTTTGTTTTCATGGGTATTTTATTTTCAATTCTTTATTTTGAAAATTTTACACTCATCCAAGGACAGACAGAATAATATAATGAACTCCCATATACTCATCTCCCAGTTTCTATCATTTTCAACGTATTTTATTTTCAATTCTTTATTTTGAAAATTTTACACTCATCCAAGGACAGACAGAATAATATAATGAACTCCCATATACTCATCTCCCAGTTTCTATCATTTTCAACGCATGGCTGATCTTTTTTCATATGTATCTCGCTCATTTATTGAAGTATGTCAGATGCACACAAAAGTGCACAAATAAAAAGTATGTATAAAACAAACAAAAAGCATATCCTCGTAATTAGAGCCAAATCTCAGACATCATATCATTTCACCCATTTTCATAGATTAATTTGACACAAACCTCAGACATCATATAATTTCATACATAAATATTTTAGTATGTATCATAAGAAGGGTTTTGATTAAAAAATACCATTATTAAAAAACAATTTTTAACATGATGAGACAATTTCTAATTGTCTCAGTTTGTTTGAATCTGGAGCTGTATAATGTCCTCACATTATTATTTAAATTTTTTTTATTGATTGATTTTAGATGGGGGGGGAGAGAGAGAGAGAGAAAGAAACAGAGAGAGAAACAAACATTGATTTTGTTCCACCCATCCATGCATTCATTGGTTGCTTCTTGTTTATGCCCTGATAGAGGATTGAACCCACAATCTTGGTGTATCGGGAGGACACTCTAACCAACTGAACTACCTGCTCAGGGCAAGGTCTTCACGTTATTATTATTAGTTGATATATCTTTACGATTTTTCTTATAGCTAGGTTCCTCCTGCGTTTGTCTCTCTCAATTTATTTATTAAAGTGGGTGCGGATGTAAAGAACAGCATGGGGAATATAGTCAGTAATACTGTTAATAACTTCGTGTGGTGTCAAGTGGGTACTAGGCTTATTGGTGGGATCACCTTATAAGTCATACAGATGTCTAACTACTATACTGTACACTTGAAACTAATATAATATTGAATGTCATCTGTAATTGAAAAATAAAAAATAATTAAAAAGAAGAATGTCGGTTGTAGAGTTTCTCACAATGTAGATTTCATTGATTGCACCTCATGGATTGTTAATACGTTTCTGTTCTCTGTGTTTTCTATATATCGATTATTGGATCTTGGGGCTCATGGGTATTTAGTGAGATACTGGGAAAGGTTGTTTCAGGGCCTGAAATGAAGTTCAACCTTTCACTCCAGATGAAATCCTCTTTATAATACCCTTATATGAGTATAACCCAGACTTGCTTGAGCGCCTGTAGAGATGGAGAATTCCCTTCTTTACACAAAAGCCCACTTTAGTTAATAGATTAATACAAGTTCAAGCTCTAGAGTCAAATGAGTTATTATGCTTAAGTACTACAATCTTAATTTCACAAATGAGGAAACTGAGATGTGGGAAGGTTAAGTTACCAGGTGTCACGCAGCTAATCTGTGGAGTAGCTGGGATTTGAACTTGGTCAGGTTCTGTAGTCTAATTTATTATGCTTTTCTGCCTTTCTGTCAGATGTCCCTGTTTCTACTCTGCCTCCTGAAACTGATTCAACTTCAACATAGCATTTCATTTTTACAAATTAGGTTTGATCCTGTTAAATTCCATGCAAGTATTTTGGAATATTAAGCCTACCATTGTGTATTGTTGTTGAAACATCATTGAGCATACTTACTTTTATGAATTTATTACCCTGTTTGCATCTTGCCCAGAAGTGCAGTTGGGAAATTTAAGTGACTTAAAATGTCAGTTCTACTAAGACAGGGAGTTCTGTTTATAAGTATTTCCTTGTACCTGAAACAGTGCTGAGTACATATCAGCAGCTCAATAAATCCATGCTGAGTGAGTGAAAAATGTACACAGAGCTTTCAGTGCATCAATCTAGTAGTCTGTTTTTTTTTTCAATAACACAGTTAATTTTTTGTTTTGTTTTTTAAAAATAGCTAACCATTTATAAAGTCAAAGAATTATAAAGTGACTTAGTAATAAAGGGGCTGTTGAATGAACACACGATTGTAAAGTTGGGATTCTGAATGATATCAGTCTCAAGTCTTTGTTTCAGTGTTTTGATTTACAATAGCTAGATAATGTTAATTTACACAATGATGTACTTGCAAACATTAACTGTCTGTTCTTTCATTAAATGAAACCCAAAGCTTGAAAGTAGGAAATTTTTGCTTCAGAGACACTGTACCAATATCTATTACCTAATCACACGCCCCTTCTTAATGATGAAAGCTGGACCAAACCTGCCCTCGCTTCCAGCACACGTTCCGCCTTGCTCCTTGGAGCAGGGACTCTCCAACCAGCAGCAATGGGCACTACCTAGGAGTAGTCTCAGGTCGCGCTTCACGTGGGCAGGATCAGAATTTAAACTTAATAGGAATGCCCTGTGATTTAAATGCACAGTCCACTTTGAAAAGCACTGTAAACTTCAGTGGGTGGAGGGTGGACCTGGGCTCCCACACTTGCACCAAGCTCCCGGGTGATGCCCTTTCTGCTAGTCCATGAGCCACATGTATGGCAGCAGGGCACTACAACGTTAGTCACAATGAGAAGGTTAAACAGTTGCTTGCATTAGCTCTCAAGCTGTGACAAGAACACACGCCCAGCAGGTAAGCCTGAGCGAGCCTGACAGTTACCGAGCACAAAGCAGGTATGCTGTGATGGCGTGCTTATTCTTGTGTACATTCTTTAGAAGTGTGTATGTGCAGACCTGGATTAAAAAAATTCTGGAGAAATCCATCTTTTTATGTTTTTGACATAAACATTCAGATATTATGCATAGCAATGGCAGCAAAAGCGTAGTTCTTATTAGATCTGCATAAAAATGAATTCTGCTGGCAGCACAAGCCAATGTGTGTGTTTGCATTTCTGGTTTTCAAAATAGCTAAACATGTATTTCAGAACTGAAACAAATACCTAGAACCTAGAATCTCAGTTTGAAAACCATTGTTAAAGTGAAAAGACGGGGCATTTGTCACTAACATATTGATGACTTTGGGCCCAGTACATGGTCTTTCTGGATTTCTTTTTCTTCCATCAGTAAAATGAAAGGTTCTGACTAAATAGTCTCTTAAGACAAATTCTTAAGTTCTGTGCACTTATACTTTATTAGTCAGGGTTCTCCAGAGAAACAGAATCTATAGAATCCATAGGGTGGATCGATAGCTATATCTTTATATCTACATCTATATCTATATGAAATTTGTTATAGGAAGTTGGCTCCCATGACTCTGAAGGCCAAGCAGCCCCGTGACCTGTTGCTTGCTGTCTGCTGGAGGACCCAGGACAGTTTAATGGTGTTAATGAATTCTAGTCTGAGTCCAAAGGCCTGAGAACTAGGAGAGCCAGTGTGGCAAGTCCCCGTCCAAGGGCAGAAGAAGACCAACGTCTGAGCTGAACAGTCAGGCGGAGAGAGATAATTCTTCCTACCTCCCACTTTTTCTCTTTGGGCCTTCCTTGGGGACATCAGTCTGCTCTACTCAGGACACCAATTCAAAAGCAGGGAGACCCTCACCAACACACCCAGAAATAACGTTTAAGCAGATATCTGGACACCTGTGGCCCAGACAAGGTGACACACAAACTTAACCATAAACTGTGTCTTGCTCTGTAGCCTGATAGAACTTTATATAGTTTCATTAAATCCAATTACTTTATTATAGGGGTTGGTATGGCATAGTTTAGAGCCAAGGATTTGAGCCAGTAAATAAGGATGTGTCTTTGAGCAAGTAACAACCTACAGGTGAGGATCTGTAAAATGGAGGTAATATTGGCGCTTATATGCCATAATGTAGTTTTGAGAATTAAAGCAGGTAATGCATGTAAAGCATGTAGTGTATATTGTGCAATATACGTTAGCTGTTGTTTCTTTTACAGCTGAGAAAACAGAGGTGGAGAAGTAAATAATTTGTCTGAGTTTCAGTATTCCATTATTATAGGCTTGGATCTAGAAGCCAGATCTTCTAATTCCTAATACAGGTTTCTCTCAATTCTTCAGGCCGGTTTCACTGAAATGCCCACCTTTTAAACTTAAAAAATTTTTTAAAACAAATTCTTTAAAATTTTGCCTAGTCAAATAGCTCTCCACTGACCACCTTTCTTTCTTTATGTATCTTTTCTATTTTTCATTAGAATAATTTGTGATTATTTGAACAGTTTTAACCTTTATGGTTTATTCTATTCTATACTATATAATTATATATTGGGGATATATAATTTTTGAGTTTTTGTAACATCTGCTTTTCTAAAGGGAATGATGTGTGGCTAAATTGTGTGTGCATGTTAACTATTACATCTTTTCTTTACAATTTTGGATTCTCAGATAAGAGAGCTCTTTTCTCCTACTGTTTCTGTCACTTCATCTTGTACATTATTTTTTTGTTAAGAAAGAATTACTAGCAGCAGTTTTTCTCATTGCTTATTGACATTAAGGTTGGTCCATGAGCAACTTCAGTTTGACATTTGACTTTATAAATGTTACGATATGCTCATTTTGGTTTTAGCTCTTAATTTTAACTTTTTAAAATTGTTTTTTCTCTTGCAGTTGAAAACAATCCTCGAACAGGAAACCTTGGTGCGTTAATTAAGGTCTTCCTTTCTAGAACCAAAGAACTAAAACTTTCAGCAGAATGTCAGAAGTAAGTTGGCTGATTAAGTCATGTTCTTTTTCTATTTAACTGTGTGAGTATTTTTCATCTATTGATAGAAATTGATTATGATTATGGTTTTTTGAAAGCTATAAAGGAATTATTCTTATTATTAAAGGAAAAAAGTAAATGAGAAGTTTTAATTTGCTGTCCAAGTCATTGGGGTGAGGTGATAAATTCTGGAATCTGTTTGATTTCAGCATTTTAGACAATCTTTAGGAATATATTTTTTAAGAAGATTAATAGTGATGTACTTATTACAAAAAAGGTAATTACTCCCCGCTATCACTGTTGTTCATATCTAGTTTAAATAATGACTTAGTTTGAGTATTATTTCATTCCACGTCTTTTTTCTTAATTTTTTTCATATTAGATACAAGAAGGTTCAGATTAGATGTATAGTTTTATATTAGATGCAATGAAAAGCTAACCTTTTATGCACTTGGGCATTTTTTTTTTTTTTCTGTCTAGCTCTTATAAGAGTTCATTGCCCAGGTTTCAAGCAAATTATATCAAATCCAATTCAGATTTTTCTTGTGAGTACATGGTTATTAGTACAAATAGCAGATATTCTGCTGTGGTACCGGTTATCCTCCATTTAAAATTTTGGCTGTGTGTTTGTGTATATTCTCTTTATGGTACTATATATCTCTAATTTTGTTAGCCCTCTTTGAATCGCCTGTGTGTGGGACAGCCGTAAAGTTAAGAACAAAGAGCAGTCATGCCTAAAGGAAAATATTTTTATTAAGTGGACTCACTATGTAAAATACATAGAATGAACTGTAATAGATATCACTGGTTAAATGAGCCATTAAAAGATAGGGACATTGTTCTGATGTTGCAGACAGAATGGGCACAATGATTTGAGAAATCTTGAAGAAATCATGGGCTAGAACTAAACTGATTATGCTGCTGATTAGATATTGATTCTTGTGTGGTTTTGGTCTTTCCTTCCTAGTCACATCTTCATTTGGCAGACACACAACGCTTTGTTTATTATTTGCTATCTGCTGAAAGTGTTCATTTGTGAGATGTCAGAGGAGGAGTTACTACTTCATTTTACTTATGAAGAAAAATCTCCTGGCAGTTACAGTAAGTATTGCCTTTGAAGGTGTTTTAGAGATAGCGTGTGTACACATAAGCACAACATTTGAGGAATAAAAGTATAATTTTGAAAATTCCATTTTTCCTCTCATAATTTTCATTTTTAAATAATCTGACACTGTCACTGTCTCTTCCCCTATATTAATTTAAAAGAGCCAAGACTCTCAGTGTTTTTGGTTTTTTTTCTTTTCTTTTTTTAAAAAACATAAGGAAGCCAGTAGGGTTGAGACATTTATTTATTTTGACTTCCATGCATATGGAAAATAAAAATCAAAATCACCAGTATTCCTTTCAGGAAACAGATGTCAGTTTAAATATTATTACCAGGGCACTGCTTTATTAAGTAAGACAACCAGTCAGAATTACAGATTTGATAAGTATTAAAGGTTAGTTCCATAGGCTATAACAACAGTCTGTGAGTCTGGGTATCTTTGGGGCTACTTGTTCAGAAATAACACTTTCAAGGACAGTTTTATGATGCTGCCGTATGTCATCTTTTTCTGGAGATACAGGAAAAGGTTGCTGTTTTCTCCTGATATTGCTGAGATTTTGTTTTATTTTATTTTTTGCAATTGCTAAGAGATCCTGTAGTTTCCAAGATCAGCTGCTTGTGTTTCACGTCTTAGCATTAAAAGGGAAGAATGGGGTTATTAATAAATGCAGTATGGGGAATAACAGTGTTTTGCATCTGCCTTTCAAGCTCTCTCCTGTCTGAGAGCAAAGGCAGTATTGCCCCTGAGTTTTCTTGGTTCTTTTTAAAGACACATCTTTGCCCTTACTGGGTTTTCTTACCTACCTAGAGCTTTGTACACTGATTTTGAATTTTAGAACATGAATATGCTTAATTTCCTACTCTGATAATGTTTAAAAAGGTAGAGCTTATAATCGAATTGTGTCTCGCACGTGTTAGTTTTGCTAATTCTAGGCTTTGTTTCTGTGGGACCAACAGTGCCAAAACATAGTTCACTTAGGGAGTTGCAAACTTTTCCAGGAAGTTCTAGCAGCAAGAATGGAGTGAATGTTTATCCCCGTAGGGCCTAAGAGGATAGTCCAAGCAGCACCTGCAAACTTAACACTTTGTTTTGCAGTGTGTTTTAAAATTGTGCATATGTTACACATTTATTTAACACAATATCATTTATTTTAATATAAAATCGCTTTTCATAATTTATTGAGTAAATTGATGCACTCGAGGATACACTGTATTTGTTTTGGGGCCTATGTCTTCCTGGAATACCCTCTCTGTACTTGCACTCCCCAGTCATATTCAGGCTTGAGAAGCATGGCTGGTGAACATTCCAGGTGGCCTACTCTAGAGGCGGTGTAGAAGTGACATTTTTTCCAGCCATGACCACATTATCAAGATGGTTGTCCCACCGAAAGAGCCATTGGTGAGGCCTGATGGTTGGTGATTCTGTCTGTGTGCTGACACACGGTCTTTTATACAGTTAGCAATTCAGGAGTTTACACATGGTCTTTTAATTTTATTCTTTTTATTTACAACTGAGCTTCCTGCTGGTCCACCAGCTTACGCCCAGTGAATATCTTTTTAAGGTTAAAGGCTTGCTCTTTTTGACATATGTAATTATTTTCATCCTAGCCTTAAATGTTGTTAGAGACTTCTTATCACGTAGTGTAAGTATTTTTTATATTTTCCGCCAATGTCTTTTTACAAGTTACAAAAGTGAGATGCAACTAAATGACTGCACAGATTCTGTTGAATGGGAAAATGTGTGCCGAACTACTTAGGGATAGATAGTGTGCAATAGTACAGGTCGTTTGAAGGTTGAATGACAGAAGTAGAGAACCGTATTCAAACAACTGAGCAAAGTCACCTGAGGCGTTTTAAGAATGTTGAGTGATTACAGCATACTGAATTTTTTCCGCTTTATCCAATTCATTATACTACTGCTGCAATAAAACGAATACTGTTGGCATATTCAGGGGAGCCACCTATATGAAGATAATGTGACTCTCATTAAGCTCTCAGTTTATAGTTGAAATTTGTGAGAATTTCCTATTTGAACATTTTCCCATAGGCTATGTATTATGTGGTAGTGGAGCGTTTGCTAGAGGGAATTTGTATCATTATGCAAAGAAAGCTCTCTCCGGGATTCCCTGTCTTTGAGAATAGTCAGTGGGGACAAAGCTCGCCCTAGGGAAAGTTAGGAAGTGCCACAGAATTGTTACCACTTTCCTTTTGCCTTCAGTGGGCGTTTTCCTTTCCTCTCTCTTGGGATTATGCTCCCTTCTTGCCAAGGTAATAACTGGTATTTATTTCACATTTTGTATCTTATAAGGACAGGGTTGGGCAAAAGTAGGTTTAGAGCTGTTCATATGGAAAATAATACAATGATTAATAAGTAATAATATAAGAATTAACTGTTTTGTGTACTTATAACTGTAAATGTAGTTTTGCCCTACCCTGTACAATATGTTTAGTCCTTAGGGGGTCTAAACCTGTTGTTGGTCCCTGCAAACACCTATGGTGGTTTGTTTCCTTATATATTCGATGCCGTTGAGTGTGAGTGTTTGTTTCATCTTAATATGAGGCCCCAGATGAGGGATGAGTCCTCTTCATCCTCGCTCAGCAGTTCTTGGCGTGATGGGCACCCCAGGTTGAGCGTCTCTGTGCCGCTGGCTGACAGCCTTTCTCCTGTCACTGGCTTCCTGTTGGCGTTCTTCCTCCGGGTCCCCCTTCCTTTGGAGTCTGCTTACTGCTCAGTGCTTTTTTTCTGGGTGCAAGCCACGGTTTGTTCGCTTGTGCTGCTTTTTGATTGTGGCGCTGGGGTCCTTGGAGATTTCCTTTACTTTCTGGAAGCCCATCAACGCACTAAAAAGGATATTTTAGCCAAGAGCTAGTTGTTTTGTACGGGAGGCCCCTTTGGAGTAACAGTGCCACCATACTGCCAGTAAAAGGCAATTATAGCTTCTTTACAAATATTTTTTAATTTTTTTAATGAGAGAAGAAGCCTGTGGAGATTGAGTGAAGATAGAAGTGATTAAAGAGGGAGAAATAAGCTGAAAGGAAGGTCCAAAGAGGAGGCACTTGGCCCAGGAGCACAGGGAGGGGGAATGGGCTTGCTGTGCAAGAGCGGGGCGCCTGTGCCCCCTGTGGGTGGCTGTGTGGGCGCTGAGGGGGAGGCGGGCAAGGCACCCTGCGAGAGCTGCACAGAGCGAGGCACGTGGGCCTGGGAAGCGTGGGGACCGGCTAGCACAGCTCTGCGTGGAGAAGTGAGACTAGGGACTTGTCAAGTCCAGGTCAAAGGCTTGCTTAACTATAGTTGCTTGGTGTAAAATAGTTCAATATAAATTTATTTTAAAAAATTCCTTATTCTCTGGGGCTTGCTCTCAAGTGTAGTGGGTTCGACATACTTGTTTATCTTTACTTTCTCCTGAAACCCCAATAAAATATTCAGTAAGGGACTAATAAAAGTTTTGAATTTATTATTAGGTTAAAGGGGGATACTATGTTAACAACATTTTGCAAGCTGGAAAATGGAATAATGATGAACTTAACTGATCAGTGAAAGTGGAAAGCTAAATGCCAGGAAAAAAAGCCAGTTCTTTCCTCAGAACTCTGGAAATGCTTAGGCATTGGAAGTAGCGGTGTGTCCAAAAGCAGACAACCAAGAGGACCCAGTGAAAGGAGCAGTTAGACGCCTGGGTCCTCTGCTCTGCCATGCACAGTCATGAGACCCCCCTCCGCAGCTCCATACTAGAATCTGCCTCTGTAGACCGCTTGGCAGCATGAGCGCTCAGCTCAGGCACAGAGGAGGGCGTGGCGTGCTAAGAAACAGGCTTAGCACAAAGGCTACGAACGAAGAGTTGAATGTCTTGCCTTGGCTTCTAGACTCCTGGCCCGTTTTACCCACCCCGCTCCCTTTCCCCCCAGGAGATTAGTGGGTACTCTTCTGGAGAAAATGAATCAAAAACGAAGATTTGTTGATGATGGCCAATCTGATGGGTATGAGGTGATACCTCATTGTGGTTTTAATTTGCATTTCTCTGACGGTTAGTGACATTGAGCATCTCTTCATATATCTCTTGTCCTCTTTGGAGAAATATCTATTCAGAAACCCAAAACACTAATTTGAAGGAATATATGCACGCTTATGTTCATTGCAGCATTATTTACAATAGCCAAGCTGTGGAGGCAACCCAAGTGTCCATCAATAAATGAATGGATAAAAAAAGTTGTGGTACATACATATATGATGGAATATTACTTGGCCATAGAAAAGAATGAAATCTTAGCATTTATGACAGCATGGATGGACCTAGAGGGTTTTATGATCAGTGAAATAAGTTAGTCAGAGAAAGGCAAATACCATATAGTTTCACTGATAGGTATACTCTAAAGAACCAAGTAAACAAACAAAATTGAGACAGACTCATAGACACAGAGAAAGAACTGGTAGTTGCCAGAGGGGAGGGGTATTGGGGGACTGGGTGAAAGATGGGAGGGGGCTGGGGGAAGGGGTGAAAAAGGTGAAGGGATTAGGAAGTAGTGGCCAAAACATCTGTTATATTTTTTCCATAAAATAAAGGATACATTTTTCATTTCATCAATAACTTTATTGATTTGGATATTTTGAGAATGTCGGTTCTCTCCCGCTATTGCCTTCTAGTGGGTAGAGGCCAGGGGTTTTGCTAAACATCTTCCAATGCATAAGACAGCCCCACAGCAAAGGATTATTTGGTCAAAAATGTCAGTAGTACCAAGAAACTTTGCAAACCACTTTTGAAACGTTTGATCAGTCACAACACCTTCTCCATATACTGCACAAATCTTTTTTTTTTTTGCATTTTAATTGTTTTTACCTCCCTTGAAATAATAAAGCATACTATGCCAAAAATGTTGTGTATTTTCTTCCATCTTCAATATTAAAATGGCTGCACAAAAGTTCACCAATTTTGATGTTTTCTTTTAAATGCACACTGATGTGACAGCTGTCACAATGCAGTCTAACAAAACTGTTTTGACT